AATCTCATCTATCAGGTTTCATTTAAAGATTTGAAAAACTGGTTTGTAAAATTTGTTGTCAGAAACTGTTTGGCATGTTTTTAGGCAAAGGAGTGGATTTTAAATCAGAAGTTCAGACTTGAATTAAAGGGGTTTAATAAAAGTATTCCCTCAAATATTCAGGAATTACAGCCATTTCAATGCACAGTCGCCCATTTTCAGAGGCTCAGAATTCATTAGACAACTGTTTAATATGTTTTCACGGCCACCAAATGCAAGTGTTTCATTTGCATTTGTTTGCTTTTTCAGAGGAACTCTCAACACGAGGTCCGAATAAATGTCAGTGCGAGACAAACAGGCCATCACTCGACTGAAAGTCCAAATAAAACAAATGAACCCATCAGGCAGAAAGAAAAAATCAACATTGTGGTGCATCGGCCAGCTCAGCAACACTACGAGACTTTAAAGACCACAGAACGCTCTCAGGGAGGATCATCGTCACAGGGTTTACACCAACAGGGTGCAAACCACTGGGTACACTCAAGAACAGGAGCCAGACTTTACCAGAAAACGCGCACGGCTGGCTGTGGAAGCAGGTCACGAGTGTTTACTGATGACACGATTGCTGATAGAAGCAGCGAGATGAAGTGTACGGGGCTGTAGCCTCTGCTCAGATTCAGACAAACGCTGCAGGGCTGATCGGACAGAGCATCGGAGTGCAGACGGACAATGAGCCGGACCACAAAAGCGACCCAGTGCAGAGAAACGTGATCCTCTTCAACGGCCACGTCGGGCACCTGATCTCAACCCGACACAGCAGCTTTTCAGTTACTAAAGGAAGAAAGACACAAACTTACTTCTGTTGAGCTTCGAATTAAGCGGAAAGTCTGAACTTCAATCACAATCGGTCGATTGTTTCATTTAAAATCGCAGCGGTGGCCATCGGGTATCAGTAACTGTCCTTTTCTGTTGCTGACATCCAGCTAATGACAAGTTCTGAGAACAGCTTCAGCCGGGATTGAAGTTTCTGATTTCGTGCTCATCTCAAGCTCGTGTCTTTAAAGCTCTAACGTGAGGAACCGCAGACTGTGCAGCTTTTTGTATCTGGCAGCAACGCCTGCATACAGAGTGTGAACGCCAGCGTCTCTGTGGCTCGCTCACTGTTCAGCCTGTTTACTCACTGAATTAACAGAGAGCGAGACCCGAGTGTAAGGATGTGAAACGCACTCAGATGAAAGCAAACAAAGAGGAAACTGTAACCCCAAACAGTCAAACACTGACCCAGATGCAGCCTGACAGGTGAAAGGTCCGAGGCTTCGTCTCACGAGCTGTCTGTCATTCTTACATTTAGATTATTCACACCTGATCTTTCTTTTTAAATCCGTTTGTTCAGGTCCTGAAAGGTCAGCTGTCGCTTTCAACAGTTGTTCCAACATTTAATGAAACTCAGCTTAAAAGATTCTCACACACCACGTGTCACAGAAATATGAATAAAATACAGATTCGGTCATTTAAGCAGGTTGACTGTCATGTGCTGCACCTGCATTTTTATTTACTGTAGCTTCACTTTATGGATGAAGCTTGCTAACAAAGCTAGCACTAGCTATCAACTTTGTGCACCTTTGCACCAAATCCAAAGAGTGAAAACTGTGATTTGAGTCTTCACTGTGCGTTCTGTAAAGATGGCAGTACAAGTAAACATCACGAGTGCAGGAAGGCTAGATAAAACTTTGAGCTCAAGCTGTTTTATTTACATCCGTCCTCTGCGTCAGGCTCGTCTTCTGAGATTAAATTACTGCGTCTTTTTCAGACGAAGCTAAAAATGATTTGGTCCTAATGTTATCAGCCTGTTGAATGACTGCTGTCAGTCTTATGAATACAGCCAGTAGGTGGCCTCCTCCTTATGTAACCCAGAGACTGTGCATAAAAGAGGCATCACAGGTTTTCTTTTCGAAGCCTCAAAGTTAACGTTTTAGCCACTGTCATGGTGGGATTCTTGGATGTGGTCATGAGAGGGTGGAGACGTCCGTCCTTATTCTGTATGGGTGCAATGTATGAACACAGATATGGTTTAAAGAGCAAAGATCCAATACAGACAAACTGGACAAACTCCAGCAAAAATGTCTCTAAGTGTTTCTAAATGAAAGACGTGTTCCTGTTTCTCTATGTTCCTGTTTCTTTACCTGTCTGCCAGGTGGACTGGCTGGCGTGTGAAACGGTGTGATTGGCGTTGAGGTTGCAGAGAGGACCCTAGCGCTCCCGTTGGTCAGGCTGGTGGAGATCTTGGCAGACATGGTGGTGTTGTTGTGCGTTGCAGAAGAAGTTGGAGAGGAT